AAATATAAATTCATCATCGTCATCATTTCAGCCATTACCACTGCTGTACATAAGCCTCCCCTATAGACTGCCATAAAGAACGGTCTTAAGCCACCTGCATCCACTGACTCCCTGCAATGTATTTCAAGTCGTCACTCCATCTAGTGGGGGGGTCGTCGTACATTGCATAACTAAAGATAAATTCAAACCAGTATAAATACATATACAATAGTCACGCCTGTCTTCCATTAGGATAGGCAGTATAAATAATGTGTTACTATGTTACTTATAGGAGGAATTCTAAATTACATCAAGCACCAATGGTTGACATCAGCATACGAATAAATGTATTGAAATATGTATTTGTTCATACATGAATATTGCCAGTTTATTTCATACGAGTCACGTTTATCCTTGATGGGGTGGCAGAGATATATTCCCTATTTGTGAAACATTTTAACAATCAAACCCACCCATCGTTCATATTGCTATGTAAGCTTCAAACGTGACACACTGGGAGCTCCGCTTGTTTATAAATGGTTTCTTATATTTTTCTATGTAACTACTAAAGCTAACGAAAATCAAATAAGCTGACTGTTAGACACGATCATATACATACATATATATCACGGAGACGTCAGTAACCAATGTTTTTCGATCTTTAATAAATCTCCTGCTACACGTTCCTATAAACTGCACGGGCTTTTCCTCTGCTTTTGCCATTTAGGCTTTCAAGCATTGGAATGTTTTGCCCTTTGGTATTAAATCTGCCCTAAGTAAATTAGTAATCAAACATGTTCCTGTCCACTACACTGGCTTTGCCTCTAATTCTTTTGCTGTTCAGGCTATCAATTACTGAAATGCTTTACTCTTTGGCATTAGATCTGCACCAAGTAAATTAGCATTCAAGAATAAACTACGTTCTTTTTATTTAGAATCCATAGTATAGTAATATTTTTATATAATTTAGACACTTTGCTTTGCCTAATACTATTGTTTCTCTCGTATCTGGGTAGTTTTTCGTCCGATATTATTTACTATTATAATATAAAATGTATGTAATATAAGTACTATATGTAGATATGTTTTTTTAATATTGTATATTACTTTGTACCGTCTAATTGACGATGCAAAGTAATAAGTTTTCTGTTATTCCTGTCTACAGTCGACTGGTAGATAACGCCATATGGTCTAAAGTTCGCCATTTACACTTTCTTAGTGTATATATATATATATATATATATATATATATACAAGAATGGTTACCTGCTTTGTAATGGCATAATACTCGTAGCAATAGCTGCTGTTTAGAGTCAAATGAGTTTTGCAAGGTAATATAAAATGCGAGGCCCTGTTATTTGTAGTAATTGTGTTACGCTTACATGGGATACAAAAATATTATTGTTATATTAGCCATTAAGTGTCCACTGCAAAAGCAAAGGGCTCACCTATAATGAGAGTTTTGCCAGCAGTTGCCACGCATAGCAGGCAGGTTGGCAACCGCAGTTAGACTTTGGCGATGCTTTAAGAGGGACGCTGCTGGTCATCTTTCGAGCATTAAATTCCCTTAGTCACCTCTTATTGTGACACTCTTTATTATGACACCCAGGAAAAAAGAAGAAGTGGGCCATTCTATGCCGGGAGAACACGGCATAGGATAACAAATACTTTTTTTTAATTTAGAACATGGTCCATCCTTGTTGTTTAAATCATGTCGAATCCTTGAAACGTACTCAACAAATATTCAAATATTTATAATATTAAATTCTGTAGCAACAGACAACTGAAAATATATTCCAAAATTAAATATTCAAATATGAGAAACACAATAAAAATATTTTCACACGAAACTGAAAGAAGCAATAACTAATAATTGTTGAAAGTCAAAATGGAAAGTCAGCGTTGTATATAATATTTTTGACTGAATCAAGTTGATTGCTTGTGTAAGTTTGAACCTAGTCAATGTCTAGTTTGTTCAATATTAATATTTGACATAGACGGAATATAATTAAATTGTGTTTCACAAATAAAAAAAAAAAGACGTGTGGCAGTCGGGGACTGCCGCGAGTAAAAGCTAAGCTCTGCCGCCGTAAGAGTGGGGGTGTTAGGTTCCATTTCCGTTACGGAATTTTTACATTCGGTCTCCGCGCTCAAGGCCCGCGATAAAAGCTATACAATAGCTTAAAAAACGACTTCAATTGTCTTGAAACAAGTTTTTGGTAAACCGATTTTGGTAAAGTTTCTATGGTACCTATTAGTAGGTATATCCTCTCAAATAAATTAAGAATTTTCCAAATTGGTTTATAATTGACGGAGTTATGAGGTAACAAACATAAAAAAAAATACAACCGAATTATTTCCTTCTTTTGAAGTCTATGCACTACTTCAATACCGATTCAAAATTGTGTAGCTTTACTAGCTTTTACTCGTGACTATGTCCACATGACAGGAATATATTGGTTTACGGGGTTTCAAAGTAGCCTATATACATATAATAAACATGCACCAAATTTCATAGACTGGTTAAGTCGTTAAATAATATTTATTTAATTAGACTACATAAGGCCCATTTTGTTAGTTATAAATTGACTTAACCTATGTTAATAAATGAGCGGTTATAACGCTCTTACATTGATAACCTGTCCCACCCAATATTTTAGGATAGAACAGTCTATTAAAGCTAAAGCTAAAGCGCCAATAAACATTGTTTTGAATTGTTTTGCTTCTCTAATAACAATAATGATTTTTTTGTTTAAGTAAACTTAATTATAAACATTTTTGAATTATCATTTAAAATTATTTTATTGCCCAGTTCGAAATACAAAGTCATCTAAGAATTACGGGCAAGAAATTATTGCTTTCTTTCTTAAACAATTTTTATCTCTTGTAACATTTTTTTCTTAAATAAACCGTCCATTTCTAATTTCAATGAATCCAAATATCATTTTCAATCAAGTAAGCTATTATTTCAATTGCCATTCAAATTTTCGTCAAAAATTTACGGATAATAACTGGCCATATTGTGCAGTATTCTGCATTAAACCATCCATGAAATGGAAGGAAAAACAATAGCAAGCGAGCAGAAGCGCGGACAATCGAGCCTACTCCGGATGGCAGGGTGACCTCGATAGCCGCTTGGGTACTCTTGTGGTGCTTTGCATTATAAGATTTCTAGTAATGTGTGGTTATTAATAACTACCTAATATTAATTCTTATCTTATATTATAATAAAATAGTAATTAATCTCTGTGCATGGGCGATATTTGAGAAAATTTGACATGAGCAATAGAAGCCAAAATTATATTTTTCGAAATTTTGTCTATCTATATTATTGTTCCAATATCACGCAATAACTACTAGGTATGGATAATATGAATACCGATCCGGTATCTATATATTAGTGTTTTGTGGACATTAATGATGAAAAAAGGTCATTTAGATACCGCCCATATTGATCGGATATCTATGTTCGAATATGTTAAAAATCCGTTATAAAAAAATACTTATTCTATACCTATTTTATTTTTGTGTGATTATTATTATTCAACACTGACAACGTTATAATTTATCATTTAATTATAATTTAATAAACCCACCACAAATTTATTATATTTTTTTTTACACAATACACTTTAAGCACACCACTGTGTTAGTCAGACTTATCCAAATACGAGTATTATTGTTATTATTAGGACGCCGCGGGTTGGCGAGGCGCGTGCTGAAAATCAGCGCTGTAGTGTCCCTGACACTACAGCATAATGCTGAGCACGGACCTCATTTTGCAGGTATTGTGACGCACGCACACACACACTCATTTTGGATGAAACTGTTATAATACGAATTGTTTTTTTTTCTTTTTAAACGGTTTTATTTAATTTTATATTCTTTATATATATATATATATATATATTGTGTGTAGTTTCGTTGTTAGAATTCTTAATATATGATTTTTTTTAACCTCTGTGTGGGTGTAGTCGCATATTTCTGTAGAATAAAGTTTCTTTCTTTCTTTCTTATCCTATATTATTTTTTGGATAACGGATTTTTAACATATTCGTTATTGAATCTGTACATAGATATTGTAATTAAAATATATAGTTATTGCTATGTTACCTACCTCTAATAACTACTACACTTAAATAGATGTGGTTTTCACAGTTATTGTCCTAAAGTCTAACTTAAAATCTCGTATATCTTTTGTCTTGATACGCCATCTAGAAGTGTTCATTTTCTATTGGTCAATTTTTCTAATTTTTCTGTTTCTCAAATCCATACATACGAAGTAGCTGGCAATAAGCTAGTTTATAATGGAATTTTATTTGAAAAATGGTTATTAATTAAAGTCTATCATTCTATAATTCAAACGTATACATTAACGTGCTTGGTGTTAGTAAATCATGCAATGATTTACTAACACCAATTTACTAACACTTAAATATTTATTATAACACATAATTTTAACATAAATTAGAAATGAAAATTAACTGTTAGATTTATTATAATTTGAACTATAAAATTTCTTCAACAGATAACTTTACAAAATTGTAATAAAAAGTAATAAAAAAAATTCCTTGTCTTTTTTCTCAGTGCCCTACACACAAAGGTTGTCTGGAAGATTGCTTAGTGATAAGGCCGCCTTTGTATCACTTCTCATTACAAATCACTATATTTTCTATTATTTTCATAAATGATGCAATAAAGTGTAAATAAAAAAAAAAACCAGAGGGAGACATTGTACAAAAGTCGATTGCTTGGGTACCTCTGTCCCATTCGTGTTTCAACCGTGAAGCAGTTGTGCTTGCATGGCTGTGTTTCGGTTTGAAGGGTGGGATATGGCGTGAATTTACTGGGTACAGAGGCATAACATCTGAGTTCTCAGGAATGGCAACGCATGGGGGGTATCATGGGCGAAAAGGTATATTCTGTTATGTCCACGGTACTGCTCATGTCTATAGGCGACGGTTACCACTTTCCACGGGTGGACCGTCAGCTAGTTTCCCATTCTAAGTTGTATTAAAAAAAATACATAAATACAATAAAAAAAAATGAGATATCTGAAGAAATATCAGAATCTATTTGAATCGAACCTGTGGTAAGCGGTAAGTTGGTGGCAAATTTACTCAATGTTTTCTTTTATTGATATTATATATTATTCTTTACTTTGTCATTGTTAGTTTACCCAAATAAAAATATATATATATATATTAAAAATATTTTTAGTTGACTATAAAGTAAATTAGTAGCATAGTAGAAGAAAAATCGTTTAAAATTTAGTATTCACGTGCATGTTATAAATAATCGGAGGCAGCTAACAGAATAACCTTTAATCTACTGAGATATTTTGAAATAATATTCTTTGTTCAAAATATAGTATTTTATTTCGATTACACAAGACCCAACCTTTAGCAATTTAGCTTATCTGTAAAAAACACAGACCGGTCTATATATAATAGGTTTATATTTTTTTTTAGATTGCCTAGAAAATATTACGTCTAAGAGTTATAAATAAAAGACTAAAAAACCTTTAATACTTTATTGCAGTTTAACTGTATATTGTTTTTTTTTATACAACTTAGAATGGCAAACAAGCTAACGGCCCACCTGATGGAAAGTGGTAACCGTCGCTTATAGACATGAGCCGTGCCATGGACATAACAGAGTATAATGCTTCGCCCATGATACCCCCCATGCGTTGTCATTCCTGAGAACTCAGGTGTTATTCCTCCGTACCCAGTAAATTCACTGCCATAACCCACCCTTCAAACTGAAACACAGCCATGTAAACACAACTGCTTTACGGTTGAAACACGAATGGGACAGAGGTACCCAAGCAATCGACTTTTGTACAAAGTCTCCCTCTGGTAAGCCTCTGGTATGCGTCTCCTTACTGGCATATGCCCAGTTAGGGCACCCATAATAAGTCTTGCCTGTTGTCTGCCACTCAACGTAGTAGAGAAAATGTCCATTTGTATTCAATTAACGTTTAATATCAATTTTAATCTTAATTACTGTTGCAATATTTAGCCATAATAAATTAATACAATTCTGATAACATTAATTTTTTTCTAAACTTACTCATTTATATGTAAATACGGACGGATGGACAGACAACGAAGTGATCCTATAAGGGTTCCGTTTTTCCTTTGGAGACACGAACCCTAAAAATTGAATTCACCATTTCTTTCAGTGCGTAAATTATTAATTTACAATATTGTCATTATAGTTTGAATATAAGCATTTGGCGTTCTATTGTTTCTGTTATGAGAAATGAAAAAAATAATGGTTGAAGGATAGGCAGCAGCGTTCTTCTTAAAACATCGCCCAAGCCTACATTACTAACAGGAAAGGGATTGTTAGTAATGTAGACTGAGAATCTCATTGCTAGCAATATACCCAACCAGGTGGACCTCCTCGCGGTTTTCCCTGGAAACTATCATGGTTAATTCCTGCTAAATTCATCATAATGGGCTAACTGGCCTGTTTTCATTCTCATCTAACACCCTTCACTGGTGCTCCGCCAGCGCATCCCGTTAGCGCAGGCAGGGTTACCATACCATTTTCATTCATCAAAAAAACTATGGTTGTCAACCCGCCTGCTCAGTGTGGCAAATATTAATATTCCCCCAATAAGGAGAGGTCTTTGTTCAACAGTGGATAATTAATGGCTGTTATGATGATGATGATGATGATGATATGATTGTAAATAATCTACCTTCAAATTTGTTAAATTAACAATATCTTCTATTTGTATGATTTTTTTTGCGTAACATCAAGAACGCGGAACATCAAGGTGACATCATTGTTTATAATTTATATGAGGTTCACATCTCCTCTATTAATTTAATTTACGGTGAAATAAAACACATTTCACTTTATTTCATTTATCTTCTTTTAAGATTTTATCATAGACAAAATATCTAACTATAGGTAGTTCAAAGCACTCAACCGATGTCTAGTCATGTTCAGTGTCTTAGAAAGAAATTGAAAATATCATATTTACGCGTCTGATTTATTAAAATATATACTTTAAGACGTACCTATTTGTTCAAATGACGTATTTATTTCTTACTCTAATATCGTACCGCAATATGTATTAAAGATTATATAAATTCTATTAATATTCTTGTTTTTATAGTAGTTATCGTTACTTTATTGTAACTGAAACGAATAATATACTTTACAAATTAAAAGTCATGTTGAAATTGTCCTTGTACAGCTATGTCAGGCTTGCCACGTCCCACTTCTTGAGAGATGGCTCCACCAGCGGAAATACGGGTGTTCTTATCAAGGTTCCATACTCCGGACCCTGTTGCTGTTACCTGGAAATCAACCAATATTGTCACAGTTTGAATGACTCTTTTCTACCAGTTGTCCAACGTTATCATTAGCTTGCACATAAGAAAAAACAGGATACGGAAGGTTACTTTCTCGCTCTACCTCATGCTTGCTACAGCGATAATGTACGAATATTTATTGTTGGACTCGAGACTGGGACATCTGCGAACTCCCTACGGGATGCAAGTACGAGTCTTGAGCATGCTCCTTGCTTGAGCGTACGGTGGCATGCTGCACCGCGTCGTTCATCCTGACCCAAGGGGCCAAACCTGCGCTATAGAAGCGACAGATTCGTTTACCGATTGTCTTGGGAGCTTCCAAGACAAACGACTGCTTTCGTTATTTGATGTACGAAGATATATACATACCATGGTCGTTAGGAATAGCAACGCATGAAAGTACCATGGGCATCACAGTATATTCTGTGATATCCATAATACTCTCCATGTGATTATCAATTTCTGAGCCTTCAACTCGTTTTCCATTATAAGTATCATAAAAAAAATAACCGGAGGCGAAGAAAACTTGTTACAATATTAAATTAAGATATGGTCAAAACTAAACAGATTCACTATCAATAAAATGACCTACATGATGCAGTAGGGTCAGCATATTTCTTTTGTGTTCATGAGTTTTCCGAATTGAATTCCGATGGAGCTAATTTATGAAATGTGCTTCTGTGAATTGGATCGAATCTAGGTGTAGCTGATTATATCGACAGTTGATTTTATCTATTTCCTCGTGATGCAGGACCAATTGATATTGCGATTGTGTACCGCTATTATAAAAATAATAAAGGCCACTATCTGATCCTCAAACTGAGATAGGTATCATTATAATATGTTATTGGAAATAACAAGAATAGATCTGAGGCAATTTGAAAAGGATCGTTTACTTAATTGGCTCCACTAGGAATTCGTTCCAAGAATTCATTTTCCAAATGATGGTTAGACAACTCTTTATTTTTTTCCCTCAAAAGATTATATAGTAATAAAATAGCAGGAAATGTAATTATAGGAAATAGAGAACAAAATATACCGACTTGCCTATAAACGTTAAATCCAATTAGTGCGTTTAAGTAATGTTGTTTTATCTATGTTAATAGATAGAGACGCCACGTGGTCTCGGCATAGAACGGCCGGCATAAAAGCCTAACTGCGGTTATAAACCCGCCTATTAAGCGTGGCAAGTAATGGTAAAACTCTCCAAAGGAGAGTCTTATATACAGCAGTGGACAGTTAACGGTTGATATGATAATGATGATGATATAGATATAAAAGACAGTTTCTACAGAAATTCCGTCAGGTAAAAAAATTTTAATTCCAAACCAAAAATCTCTATAGATAAATACTTTATCAAAATTGAAGTATTTGATATCATTCACTGACGCCTACTAGACATTGTACATGGTTTTGTTCACACTAAATCCGTATCTTCTGTACATATAAGAATTTCAAAAAATCTCCTTTATTCCGAAATAATCTAGCGATGTTGAGCATGAGTGCCCTCTAACGTTTCATAAAGTACATGCAGAGGGTACTCAAAACTCGCTACGAGGCGTTTAGTATTCATCTACAATAAGGAACTATTGTGCAAAATTTCATACCTCTAGTCCTACTAGTAAGGTTGTACATTCATGAGTCAGTCAGTATTAGAGTGAGAAGGAGGAAGCGGGAATTAGCGTTCTTTTTTTTTTAGTAAATTATACTCACACTGGTACGCCCACCAATTTGCTTGCTAATATCCAACGCAGCTTTTGCATCTTTATTGGACCAGTCTAATCTTCCTCCGAGATTGCTGGTACCACCATCAGCTCCTAAAACCCTAGTACCGTAAGCTTGCCCTTCTAATTTTCCTCTGTTGTCATTGAATATTTCTTGCTTGTAACCACCTTTGCCCTGCCAATAAAAAATGTATTAATAGTGTTAACTGTTGACATTTAATAAAATTTCATATTTATAATTATGAAGTCCATGATGCAGTGGTAGGCATATAGCTTTAATATAATGAGGGGGAGAAGGGATTGTTAGTAATGGGGATTAGTAGTCTCATTGCTAGAAATATACTCTGTCATGTCGACCTCCTCGTGGTTCCTCCGGGAAACCACGGTGAATGATTTATTGTTAGATTCGTCACGGTAGCCTGACTTGCTTCATCCTTACTTATCCTCTCTCACTGGTACCTCGCCAGTGTATACCGATAGCACAGGTGGGGATACCATTTCATAATCGTCCATTAAAAAAAAATGTAATTAGGTCCTGAATTCGACTTTCGGCTGGGCCAAGCCAGGAAGTGAACTTTTATACATATTTTTTTTTTACTGTTGAAGGATCCCACGATTGATCACGATTTCATTTGATGAAAAGCGATGATGTGGTCTAAAATGAAGCTAGCGAACTCACGAGTAGCTTGCTGAAATTGGCTAGAGTTTGGGTGTTCTAAGGTGTATCCTCAGATGTTCATTGCCAGATTGTAAATTAAGAAATAGGTGATTGATATGATTACCAAATTGGTCGTTAACTGTCCACTGCTGAACATAGGCCTCCTCCATAAAAGGAGTTTTGTCAGTAATTGCCACGCTTGGCAGGAAGGTTGGCAGCAGTTAAATTTGGCGGTTTTAAGAGAGACGTTGCTGTCCATCCTTCGACCATTCAGTTTCCTTAGTCGTCTCGTCCGACATTCATAGAAAAGGAAGGGATGGCTCGTTCTATGCCAGGACCACAAATCTCATAATACTTATATGGTGATGATGATAATGAGAAATGTGTATTTTTAAAATGAATTTTATTTGCGTATTTTAATGTATATTGTTGACAGTTGGAAATATTTTCATGTTATTTAAAAAGCTTTTTGTTTATCTCGATAAAGTCTCATTTTTTTATAAACAACTTAGAATAACAAACAAGCTGACGACCCACCTTATGGAAAGTAGTAACTGTCGCCTATAGACATGAGCAGTACCATGGACATAACAGAGTATACTGTTTCGCCCATGATACTCCCCATGCGTTGCCATTCCTAAGGACTCAGGTGTTATTTCTCTGTACCCTGTAAATTCACGCCACATCCCACCCTTCAAACCGAAACACAGCCATGCAAACACAACTGTTTTACGGTTGAAACACTAATGGGACAGAGGTACCCAAGCAAACGACTTTTGTACAAAGTCTACTTCCCTTATATATCCATTTTTTTTCTGAATATGTTTGCTGTTGGCCGTGAGTGGCCTTTACAGCTTCACCGAACGCGTATACAGGGATACAATTATGACCTGTCATTTTATATACTAATAATTTTATATATAAACATAAACTTTCAGACTTTCAAATATTTCATACGAACACTTAATTAAATCAGTCCATTATTGGAACCCAGATTGAACAATCCTTGCAGTTTCACACGCAATTTATCATGTAACGATACCAATGTTCAGATTTTCGATCGAGTATCGCACACGAATCAATCGCGCTATAGGATGTTATAATTTATCTAACAGCGTGTCAAAGTAATTCGAGAAATGCTTGTTCATTCCTCGAATTCCTTTGAGTGCTTGATATTTCCGTACGGGCGAGATTAATTGTGTAGACACTTGATATCGAATTCCAGAGGAAACTTTGTACAAAAGTCGTTTGCTTGGCTACCTCTGTCCCATTTGTGTTTCTACTGTGAAGCAGTTGTGTTTGCATGGCTGTGTTTCGGTTTGATAGATGGGATATGGCAGTGAATTTACAGGGTACAGAGGTACAACATCTTAGTTCTCAGCAATGGTAACGCATGGGGGATATCATGGGCGAAACAGTATACTCCGTTATGTCCATGATATTGTTCATGTCTATAAGCGAAGGTTACCACTCACTATCAGGTGGACCGACAGCTTTTTTGCAATTCGAAGTTGCATAAAAAAAGAAATTCGTCAAAGCAAATGCTGCCAATATTTGACAAATCTATTTCTTTTGATCAACAGAGGGTATCATTAAGCGTGTAACCCGATAGTTACAGAAATATGCCATTACATCACCGTAAACGATCTTTATCGCCGATATTGATCACTGTGTGTATAGAAATGGTACCCCGGTATAGAGTCGTAAGAGACGATGTAAGGGAGGGCGAGGAATGGACAGCAGCGTTCCTCTTAAAACATCTCTAAAAGCCTAACTGCGGTTGCAAACCCGCCTGCCAAGCGTGGTAAGTACTAACAAAACTCCCCTTATGTCAATCAGTGGAAAGTTAACGGCTGAAATAATTAATAAAGAAAAAACATTCTTTAACATTTATTTCATACTAAGCAATAGTATGTAAAAAGAAGCCAATTTGGGACGTTACTTAATATACGATCTGGGTATATATATGACTGTCTTTAAGTAGGTGTTAACACAGAAGAAATATTACTGTTTTATCTATGATACTACTTACGAACAGTCCCTGGTCGTCATTGCCAAGGGTACCGAAGACTTTTCCTTTACCCACTTGTTTGTCCCACGTCACATCTCTGGGATGACGGGCTTGCTTCGAATAATAGTATTGTGGATATCTGTATATAAAAATTAATATTAAAATTTGGAATAGACCAGTCTTTAACGAAATATTTAAATTAGATCTACCACTTTACATCGTCAGCGAATCGTCAGCTTGCTGTATTCTAAGCTGCATAACAAATACACACGTATTCTAGCTTCGCCCTGTGGTCACAACATAGAATGGACCACCTCTTCCTGACCCGTGAGTGTCGTATAATGTCGTATAATAGAGGAATTTAATGGTCGAGAGATGGGAAGCAGCGTCCCGGTTAAGACTTTTTTTATGCAACTTAGAATGGCTAACTAGCTGACGGCCCACCTGATAGAAACATGATAACCGTTGCCTATAGGCATGAGCAGTACCATGGACATAACAGAATATACTGTTGCGCCCATGATACCTCCCATGCGTTGCCATTCCTGAGGACTCAAGTGTTATTCCTCTGTGCCCTGTAAATTCACTGCCATATTCCACCCTTCAAACCAAAATACAGCCATGCAAACAAAACTTCTTGACGGTAGAAATACGAACAGGACAAATGTGCCCAAGTTGTTTGACAACTTTTGTACAAAGTCTCCCTCTGGTAAAAACATCACCAAAAATCTAACTGTGTTTGCCAACCCACCTGCCAAGCGTGAAAGGTACTGGAAAAACTCCTCTAATGAGAAAGATTTATGTTCAAAAATGGGTAGTTAAGCTAATGCCATAATACATATTGTATGGCATTTCATTATTATTTCAATTTAAATATCTATGCCTATCACTTACTTTTCTTTGTAGCCCGGTGGTACTGAGACTTGTGCGTATGCGCAAACAAATATCACAATCGTACAAATCAGAAATGAATGCATTTTAATCTGAAACAAACTATCACTGTACAAGCATAATTGTTTACAGGTATAACGGAAACAGTAAAGAAGGCAGTGAATATAACGTTAATTAAATTGTAATCCAATAATTTGTTGAGTCGATAATTTTAGATTCTATGGGATCCCATATTTGCAGGATCCTGCATGGACCCTAGTAAAAATGTAACATAAGTACAAAAGCAATATTTAAAATACACAGTGAAAAAAATTACTATAAACAACAATGAAAAATCTGGACCCAAGGATTATTCTTGAATATCTTTTAATTTCTAGCTGGCTTCAAAAAAGGAAGAGGTATTTTATGTTCCTCTCTATTTTTTATGTATATCCACTGATTTTTTTTTTATCACTACACAAATGTCTTAAAATTTAGTACACACATAATGTTTGGTATGAATTAGTCCCATAAACGATGTTGTAGGTAAAAACTAGTAATATTATAGATAAGGTAGTAAGTTTTTTTTATGTATATATAGTACTTAATAGAGAATTGTATAGGCTAATTTTTCCTTTTTTTTATTTAGAACGAACTTGCAGGAAATTCTAATAAAACAATAAATTCTTACTTTTCGTTTCTTCTCTCCAGTAACTTTCCTGTCAACAACAGATTTCTTTTTGCTCTGTTTTAAATTCTTTTGAACATTATATAGTAATCGAAAATGATCATGGTAATGCCCCTTACCATAACACACAATGCGAGTTCTCGTCTCGATTAGGGACTTTTTGTGAGTCAACATTATAAGAAATTTTTATCCTCATTATAAGTAGGTAAGTCTTAAAACTTATATTGAATAAATAATTATCCTGTCTATCTCATATTAATCTATATTACTTTATTCGTATCATATTAGCGGATACTGTTTCCTGCTGAACATTTTCCAAATTAACACCCCCCCCCCCCCCAAATGACATCTCTTTCCCTTGCTGGTATGAACTGAAAAACCTTGATATGGACTGGTAATCGAAAACAAAGTAATGACTTAGTCTTCAAACAGTGTGATCGTACCATATAAAAAATAACATTAATTTAACACTCAGGATGCAGTTTAAGATTAAAAAGTCGAGTATTAAGATATAGTCATCCAGTCCTTACACCCTCGTATCTCAATTCAAAGTTTTCTCATCCATTCTGCCCACGGTCATCAATTGTCGAATGACGGATTACACGAGCGTTAGAAGGCATTTAGCTAATCCACTTTCTAACTAGCCTAAAAGTAAAATTACGTTGTATAGTCGTTTGACCTATTATTTAAGAAGAGATACGAGCATGTTCTACTTAAGAATTAGTCTGGAAACTGGATACAGTTTGGGTTTATTTCTATTTTAAAGGGAGTGGTAACCATCGCATGTAATAAATTAGACAAGGAGGACTGATAATAATGAGTATTTAATAAGTTGGAAATGGAATAGTAACAATGGAATATATATATATATATATATATATATATATATATATATATTAAGAGGCCACCTGAAAGTTAGCACTATATAGGTACATATATAGCAACAGCTGAGGCGACTCCTATTACTAGCAATGTCAATTGTTTGTTTTCCTTTTGTTGTTTTAATTTTTTATTTTCTTAATACTGGTACTAAAGGTTATCTATCTATCTATCTAATGATGTGTGGAGGTTCATCTTTCAGACCTCCCCAGCTGGTATTAGCAGGTCCATCCAGCGCGGTTATCAGTACCAGTAATCTATAAATTTCCATTGAAAAATATTGCCGTGTCTGTCCCGGTATAGAATGGACCACTCTTTTCTTTCCCGTGGATGTCGTAAGAGGCGACTAAGGGAGCTTATGGCAAAGGGATGGCCAGCAACGTCACTCTAAAACATCTCTAAAAGCCTAATTGCGGTTGCCAACCCGCCTGCCAGACGTGGCAACTACTTGAAGGCTTATGTATGGCAGTGGACAATTAACGGTTGAAATAAGAAAAAAAAAACTTATGTAGTATATTTTTGATTACATGGTAACCTCTAGTTTAGCACAGTTACTTTTTTTGCAAGACAAAATGTAGGTACTTATCTACATCTTTATATAGTATAAAACAAAGCCACTTCTCCCCGTGTGTACGCTTAGATCTCTTAAACTATGCAACGAATTTTAATGCAGTTTTCAACAGTAGATAGAGCGATTCAAGAGGAAGGTTTATACGTATAGTTCGATATTATTTTGTGTTAATTTATGACAATAATTATTTTTTTTTATTGTGGCTCCCCCTAAGGAGAACGCTTTTTTCCGGATATTAAGTTCCAGGTTATGCATCTTATTCTTTTAATTATTTAGCTAGTTTCCTTAGTTTTATTCCTTTCCATTCATACTTTCATTCCGTTTATACCTCATTTCCTGTCAGTTCTATTTATTTCTTAGTGGAATTCCTAATTTCTTTGTTCATAGGTTTAATAATTATTGTTCAAGATTTTCGTTTGAGATATAACAAAACAATTTTTTTTTAATTTTTTTTTTTATTTTTGGTAGGATTGTTTCTCTTCGTGTCTACAAAAAACTTTGCGACTGTATACGTCTGTGTTTTAAGGATAGCTTTTAAAGATAGATAAGGACATCCAATTCATGTTCAACGCAATAATCTGATACAAAAAATATAAGCATATATGCTTTATTTCCCGTGCAAATACTAGCCGTGTAGGTCTCGGGATAGAATAGGCCACCCCTTTCTTTCCCGTGGATGTGACTAAGGAAACTTATGGTGGAGAGGTGGACAGCATCTCCCTTTTTAAAACATCACCAAAAGCTAAACGGTGGTTGTCAACCCACCTACTGGCAATACCTCTGTTGAGAGAGGCTATGTTCAGCATTGGAGTTAGCGGCTGATATAACATACAAGACGCCATGCGAATCCGGGCCGTGTCGCTACTATATGATAAAACAGCTTCATATAGTATTCCATATGAAAATATTAATATTTATTTTTATATATATTTATAAAGGCCATCTAAGCTGTTATAGGAACAAAGCGGGCCAATCGATTTCAAACATAATACCTTGTGATCGATCATACTCAGACGACATGCGGTCGTGTGTGCTGCGTTTGAATGGGCACCGCTGCTGGCTAATTCGGAGGCAAGTAAACAAGAAATAAAACCGGTCAAGTGTGAGTCGAACTCATACTCCGGGGATTCCGTACTATAAACTATTTGTAAATACCTTTCTGTTCTTTTATTCGAAACATCCATTCGAGCCATTATTCGTTCATTGTTAAATACCTCACCTATAGACTGCTAAAAAGAACGGTCCTAAGCTACCTGCATCCGCTGACTCGAATACGGAAAAAAAATTTAATATGTAAATATAAGAAACGATAACGTTTTTATTGCATGAAATAAATATCAAATAATTATTACTATTGTTTTAGCAATTAGAAATAATTTATTTTGGTTTTTATTACAATATATTGTAAAGAAAAACTGGGCTATATCATTATGTTTCTGAAATATCGTTCTATTTCTCTGTATTTATAAATTATAATTATTTGATTTTTTACTTCTATTTTTTTTTATTTTTCTGCAACTTAGAATGACAAACAAGCTGACGGCCCACCTGATGGAAAGTGGTAATCGTCGCCTATAAAAGAGCAGTACCATGGATATAACAGAGTATACTGTTTCGCCCATAAAATAATGTTTTTCCTATACGTTGCCATTCCTGAGAACTCAGGTGTTATCCCTCTGTACCCTGTAAACTAGAAGATAATGAAATGAGACTATAAATTACCGGCTGATGGCATAAGTACTTGTAGTTTCTGAAATATAACACTGATGAACACATGGACGTTTCTTTGTAGCGTTTTGGTATGGAACCCTAAAAACTATTACAGAGTTCAATACACTCGTTAGTGGCTGAACGATTAGTTATGTTTTATTACTGAAATACTTCTAATTCAAAGATCAAGGTAAAGTTATATATGAATGAATATGTATTTAATTGTATAGTATTCTACAATATATAAATACAGGAATTATAATGCAAAAATAATATATATACATATATAAATGAATATATGTATAAATATAAATAAAATAAGACTGCGATATCAGTGAAAGCAATTAATAAAGCAGCGTCCCCCTTAAAACATCTCCAAAACCTAACTGCGGTTGCCAATCCGCCTGCCAAGCGTGGCAACTCTTGGTAAAGGCCCTCAAGGTGGAGCCTTATGTTTAGCAATGGGCAGTTAAAGGCTGATAGAATGATGATGATGAAATAAGGAATAGTAGTTTCGTATTTAGGTGTAATAATTTTCCAAAGCCTAAGATTTTATACCTATCTACCTATTCTATGTCACACGTCCAATTTACATCTATTCTATGCGTATCACAAATTATATTAGATAGATAGATACTCTTTATTGTTTTCTCCAAAAGATTACAATAGTAAACTTATTATAAATATAAATAATTACAAGAAATAATCACAATGAGAAAACAATGGGCGACCTTATCGCTAAGAGCGATTTCTTCCAGCCAACCTTTGGATGGAGAGGAGTAATTATAAACATTTTTTTTTTATTTAGCTAGACTCGTAATTTAAGATTGTGTTCCTAAAAACACTACTTCAATTGTGATAAAATAAGTTATTATGATTTACAAATTAAACTGCTGAACCGATGTTGATAAAATGTCTATAGAAATAATCTATACATCATTTCAAATAAAAACGGAATTTTCTAAATCGATTTATAATTGACGGAGTTATGAGATAGCAAATATAAAAAAAAAACAAATGATTTAAAAAAAAAGAATGCCCAGCGTCATTTAATAGAATACTCTCAAGGTTATCATTGATTTAAATTCCAATCCAAGTACAATGATTATCTAAAGCATCAACATAATGTAGGAATAATATATGAAAATAACATTGTTTTGCATAGTCATCATATAATTTACCAAAGGGAGACTTTGTATAAAAGTCGATTGCTTAGGTACCTCTGTCCCATTCGTGTTTCAACCGTGAAGCAGTTGTACTTGCATGGGTGTGTTTCGGTTTGAAGGGTGGGATATGGCGTGAATTTATTGGGTACAGATGAATAACACCTGAGTCCTCAGGAATGGCAACGCATGGGGGGTATCATGGACGAAACAGTATACTCTGTTATGTCCATGGTACTGCTCATGTCTATAGGCGACGGTTACCACTTTCCATCAGGTGGCCTGTCAGCTTGTTTGCCATTCTAAGTTGTATAAAAAAAAATTTATTCATATTATTTTTATATTTTAATTATAGAACCCCAAAATCGAAATAATATTAAAAATGAAAATTATAAACAAAATGCCCTTAATTTATATTTTAAACAAACTAAACTACTACTTGCCTAAATGACTTGCTTGTTATTCAAATGCAAAGTAAACACGCCTGAGGCTGAACGCAGGCCAGGGATTTTATAAAGTTGGCTTTAAAAGAAAAGTCTTCTTAATGGAGCGGAATTTCCTTTTAGAGATTGATAGCTAAGGATAAGTATAGTATTATTTTATATTTTATAGTTCTCGTCTATTGTAGATATCTTAAAACTCCTGTAGGTGGAATAAGAGTCCTTTACATCTCAAGAGGGCTTGCTGTGAGCGTTCAAGACCTGACTACCTCATAGTTATAATTAAAAATTGTGCCCCATAAA